GTTAAGCTCAGCGAAGATGATGACCGGCTTTTGCTTCTCGTCATCAAGAAAGACATACTTGAGGTGACGAGGTAGTTCCTTAAGTTCTAATGTAGGTGGAGTCGGCGTGTGGGGCTCGTCGGCTACAAAGAGCTCAATGGTCGGCTCTTCTTCATCGTTGAGGTCGGGCATTGACCTCTCTTCTAGGTCTCATATAGTCATCTCCTCAACGAACGGGTCACTCACATCAACAAACCCACACTCCTCTACAAAGTTCACCGAGGAGGTGGATATGGCTTCTCGGACGGAGATAGATATGGACTCCCCCAAGACCGTCATATTCAAAGTTCAGTTCTTCACATCGATGATGGTGTTGTTGGTAGCCATAAACGGTCTGCCAAGAAGGATGGTATGTCCTTCTCGTTCTCTTGTACATCCCCCACATCTAAGACGATAAAGTCCACCGGGACGATTAGTTTCCCCACACGAACAAGGACGTCTTCTAGTACCCCCTAGGGGTATCGGATAGAACGGTCTACAAGCTGGAGGCACATACGGGTTGGTCTCAAGTCTCCTAGGCCGAGCCGCAGAAAGATAGAGAACGGCATGAGATTGATTCCCGCTCCGAGGTCAAGCATCCTCGAAGCCTCCTTTCCGTTCCCGACAGCTATTTTAATCACGAAGCCCTCGGGATCACGTTCCTTCTTGGTAGATCATGTTGCATTGCACTAGCCGCCACCACCACTTTCTCCCCGTCTCTGAATTTTCTCTTCTTTGTGACCAAGTCCTTGAAGAACATCAAGTATGATGGCATGTTCTTGATCATGTCTAGGAGTGGTAAGTTGACATTGACCTTCTAGAGCATGTTGTATAGGTCTCGGAATTGTTGTTCCTGCTTCTCATCTCGAAGTTGGCTCGAAAAACGGATGTGTGGTTTGTATGGGTTTGGGGATTTTTTTAGCATTGAGCCCTCCGTCGGCTTTCCTGAATCAGCCTCTATGCTCTTCTCAACGTTCACCTCTGCTTCCATGGGCTGGTCGGTAGGCTTAGGGTCGTCAAGCTCGGGCATTTTCACCTTATTGTCAACTACTTTCACGCTTCTTAGCACTGTGATTGCCTTGGCTTGCTCGGGCTGGCTCGGTAGCTTTCCTTTGTCTGACTCGGCCTCCATGTTCCCAACTCTCGTGGCAAGCTGGCCCATTTGCGTCTCAAGACGCTTGATTGATGAATCCTGGTTTGCGATAAACTGAAGGATCTTGTCCAACTTGTCGTCTTGGTTAGATGAACTAGGGTTGGTTTCGTTTGCTTGCATTCTACCCATCTGGCCCCTCTATTGCTGTTGTTGTTGTTGTTGAGGGTAGTTCGACCTTATCTGTTGTTGGGGAATGAAGTTGGGATGGGGTTGCTGCTGCATGAAGTTCTGTCGAGGCTGCTGGGTGTTGTTGTTGTTAAACCACGAGATGTTTGGGTGATTTCTCCACCCGGGGTTGTATGTGTTTGAGTATGGGTCGTTTACTAGTCGGTTCTGATAGCCTTGAAGAGCATTGGCATCTGCATAGTGCTCTCCGAAGTCTTGCTCAAAAGCTGATGGGCACACCTCTGATTTGTGCCCTTGGACTCCGCATGCTCCACTTACCTCTACAGCCGTAGTCTGCATTGGCTGGCCTCCCCTTGCATTCAGTAGCCGCATCTGCTCTGTGAGCTCCGCTATCTGATGGGCCATCTCGTACAGAAGATACTTCGTTGACCACGGCCCTCTTTCCTTAACTACTCTTTTGAGACGAGTTAGAACTCATCGCCTTAAAAAAATCCATCTCCTCCACCGTCTTTGCCCCAATATCTCCACCAGCCGCATTATCTACCATGTACTGAAGATTCTGGTGGAGAGAGTCATAGAAGTTGTTCATCAGTAGGGCCGGTGGGAAATTGTGGTGCGGGCACTATCTCTGCAGATCCTTGAAGCGCTCCCACGCCTCATGGAGTGGATCGTTTGGCTGTTGGGCAAAGGGAACAATCTGGGACCGTAGCTCTTGTGTCTTCTGGTGGGAGTAATACCTCCCAATGAACTTTGTGTACACTTGCTCCCAAGTGGTGAGGGAGTCGAGAGAAATTGTCATAAACCAAGCTTTGGCCCGGTCTTTGAGTGTCTCGGGAAAGCACCTCATCTTCAGCTAGTCCTCATTCAGATTGTGGTGAGGAAAAGTATGGAGGACATTATAGAATTCCCGGATGAAATGAAGTGGGTCCTCATTGGGTAAACCGTGAAAGGACGGCAGTTAGTTGTAATGGATTGTCTTTAGCTCGTAGTTCCAAGCTGCTGGTCCTAGCTGGAAGCACGAAGTTACCGGTCCGATCAACGGTTGGGACAAATCACAAAGAACATAACGAGAGGGGTTATTTACTTCTTGTTCATCGTCCCGTGCCATGTCCACTTGGCTGTCTGATGCAGATGATTCTGGAGCAAGATTAGCCAACAAGTCTCTCAAATCCCTGTGGATGGATTCGTCATTTGGAATGATTACACGACCACTCGTGGTACGCATAAACAAAAACAACAAAACGTCACGGGCACCAGATAGACAAGTAAGAGAACAAAAGAAAATCAAAACAAGAAAACACTAACACTAGACAAAGAAAACGAAACAAAGAGAAACACAGAAACAAGAAATCACAAAAAGTAAGAGAAACACGGAAAACAAAATGAATAGGCGCAAAAAAAAAGTCCTAAATCTTCCCCGGCAACGGCGCCATTTTGTTGTAGTTATTTTTATCGGAGTTAAATCGAAAGATTCAAACACCGGGTCGTGTCTCAAGGAAGGTCAGCTGGATTATTTCTACGAATATTCAATCACACAAAAAGAGAAAACAAATCCTAAACACTCTAATTTGAATTGTTGGTTTCGATTATCAACTACGAACTTTAAACTAAGCAATTTCAATCACACAACTTTAAACACGATTCAAATAGTGATAAAGGGACGAGGGTGTCGGGGACAATCATTTTCGGTTCTCAATACACTTATCGGGCAATCAATACTCGGCTAAAGGACTCGAAAAACCAACTCATCTAGAGGTTTATCCTTAATAACTCTACGTAACAAGAGAATAAACATAAACGAATAATTATCGAGTGAATTAACACATAGGCAATACTATTACGAATAAGTCTATTCTGAACGAGCCTAGATCGATCGATTCCTCCCCTTTCGGTTCTAAAAATCGAATAAATAGATTAAGATGGTGATCAATCATCCAACCCTAGGTTTAACACAACTCGTATAGATTGAGCAATCAACATACACACACATAAACGAAATTGAACCGGAACAATTATCCCCTAGCCCTAGTTAACGAATTTAGCTACTCATCATAGATTCAACAACGAAATACACATCAATCAAAGCCAACATAATCATAGACAAAATGAAAAGGAAAGCTTACGATTAATGTAAAACCCAATGTCGAAAACAACGTGCAATCCAAATTCCAAAAGACAAATCTTGGAGTTTTGACTCTCCAAGGTTGAATCCCAATGAAAACTAAGTGAAAGTTATGTTCTTGAGTGAAAAAGTACCAAAAACAAGTCTGAAGAATGCCATTTTTTTAACCCTCGTCGCCCTTCATAAAAGAGAGTTCGAAATTTCAGACAAAATCGCCATCTGAAACTGCCTTTCAAATTTAGAAAATCGCGGCCTCCGCAGCCGCGGGGAGCTCTGCGGGCCGCGGCGAAGAATGCTCAGCGGCCGCGACTACGCCCGAGGCCGCGAGTCTTCTGGTGCAGTACTTGTCCGCGGCCGCGACTCTTCCTCCGCGGGCTGCAGTGAAGAAATGCTGGCAGCAGTATAACTTTGACACTCCCGCGGCCGCGGGAGGCTTTCGCGGACCGCGGTGAAGGGAAATCAGCAGTTGTGGTTTTTTAGTTCGTACAAACACGTCCGGGCTCGGCATTTAATTCCGTCTTTTTCTGCTCGACCCTTTCTTCTTGCACTTTATAACCGATCGAGCCACCCAACCTACACACCACAAACGACAAGAACAACGCAGAAAACCTAGAAAAACAAGGAAGAACTCCTAAAACAAATAAAATAAAGAAAAACACACAACAAGACACAAAACGGACCAAAAGCCAAAAGAATTACCTAAGTACGGGGAAAAGAAAGGTAAAATAGGAGCAAAAAACGAAACAAAAATGGGACAAACACATGCATAGTGAAGTCTGAAATCTGGAATACAAGTCTGAAATGCGGAAGCAAATAATAGTTCGGAAGCACCAACATACATAATTAATCCAAACATGTTCAAACACGCTGATCAAAGACGCAAAGGTTCAATGCATTTTGGTATTACACATGTCTTGATGAGAAATTCACAACTAAATTTAAAACATGTCGTATGGATTTGCGGTTTGTGAATTATGGGATTTGTATTTGAACTCTTAGATAATGTGTGTCTTAGTAATACTTGATCTACAATTGAATTTTTTCTGTTTTAAAAATATTATTTAAGATCTTTAATATGATGAAGTATTGATGAATGTTGAATTTTTTAAAACATATAAAAATTAAAATATAACTACTTAGTCATTTAAAAAAAATAATAATTAGGAATCTCCGGAGGATCGAACCGAACCAAACCGAATCGTATCGATAGTCCGAATACCGAACCGAAAAATAAAAACCTCCGAATTGAACTATTCCAATTTTTTAGTATGGTTCTGGAGATCGAATTTAGTGATCTCCGAGTTTTGGTACAGTTCCAGAAATTTGTCCATCTTCGAACCATACCGACCCATGATCACCCCTAATTATATTTATAAAATGTGATATGCTAATTATTTAACATATGATTTTAAATAGTACATAAACACATATATAACAAATAAAATTTTATTTCCATTTTTATATATACACAAGATCGAGTACTAGTATTATAGTAAATGCTTAACCTTTTTCTATATTAATAGATAGATATTTTTAACATTATCTGTGTATATATATACAGAATTATTGAACACACATGCACTTTCCTAGTCTTCCTAGTCGTAAGAAATAGCAACTACATTAATCATTTTGATACATTAGCCAATCGTAGAAGTTGGAAATGGGCAAAAAAAGATGCCCAACTGTGGTTTTCCTTTCTAAATAAAAAAAATATTAAAATAGTTACACACCTCGATGCATTTCTGCCAGTTCTAAATGTCACAATCTCATACAAGGGTACATTTTACCTTTTTTTTTCCCCCTCCAACTGTGGTTTTCCTTTCTAAATAAAAAAAATATTAAAATAGTTACACACCTCGATGCATTTCTGCCAGTTCTAAATGTCACAATCTCATACAAGGGTACATTTTACCTTTTTTTTTCCCCCTCCTTTTTCTACAGAACAAATTGCAAATCCTTATTGGTCCTGTACATAGTTTCCAATATATGATGCGAATTAGACAAGAGAAAATAATAGGTCGTTCCTTCGCCCTTCTGAATAAGTGCTAAACAATGTTCACCGGAGTACAAGTACATGATATTATTAGCCTCTCCACAAATTCGCCAACAAAATGCATTTCTGCAAAATATGGACGTGTAGTCGTGTCATGGGGAGAGTAGTTACACATACAACAATTGATAGAAAAGACTAGTCACAACAAATCTAAATAACAAATCAATCATTATCTTTACTTGCAGCCCTAAAGAATTGCATATATATCTTCAATGCCTAGCTGCCTCATCTTCTCCGTTTTTATTAATTATCTCGTTTACGACCAGCAAAGTTGCAGAAATATGGACACGTGTAGTTGAACGCTTAGTTGAAAATCAGCAAGGTTTTTGGTAATATATCAGCCTTGGTGGACTCAGTAATTATACCTCATATTACTGGGAAAATCTAATGTACCTCTGTTATTCTCCTTGCCAGTCTTGCAATTCACTGGGTGATACATATAGCTTTGACACTCGTTCTTCTGCTTCAATGTCATTCACAATACCTCGACATCTAGAAGATCCACAGCTGCAAACTAGCCGTTCATCAGTTGACAAGAACCTGCAAAGGGAAGAAAACTAAGCATTGTATCTCGAGACAACTAAAGACCAAATATATATACAGTTGAAGGCCGGGCCAAGGAGCAAAACCTGTAGTCATAAGTCAGTTCTTCCCACTGTTTAATATCTCGTTTAGCAAAAATGATTATGTGATCGTCACCGTTGACAAGAATCACTCTTGAATAGCAATTTGGCTGAAATAGAGAAGCAATATTTGAACTTTTGACAGAGAAAGAGGAATCGCATTATGGAATGTAACAATGATGGCAGGAAATTAGTAAATAAGGACAAGGGCATCTTCTTCATGCAAACACCAGTAAAAACCAAAAGAAACAAGCAAGCTAACATGCCAAAATGTTTTTAGATCTGGTAATAGATCATCAGATGCTGAATAAAGATGAACATTATCTTCCCCGACTAAATACATCCCATACATGGAGCAATCTTGGTAAAGGTGTATCAAAGGCAAATCAAAGAAATTTCACCAACACTCAGTAGTAAATTAGCTCACCCATGACATTCTCCAAATGTCACATCTCATTATAAATCTTTACTGGTGGGTTCTTTTATACAAACAAAATTCACATGTGAAACACGGTTCACTGATAACAAGACCCTTAAAGCGCTCTATTTAACGTGGCAGACAACAAATAGTAAATGTACTGTGCAATTATATGCAGCAAGTTATTTTACGGGTTCCAAGCATTCATCACTAATGACTCATCTCTAAGACACAAAATCAAAACTTCAGACATTATCACAAACATAGAACGTTTTTAATTCATCATTTTCCTCAAATAAACAAACAACTCAAATAAAAACACTAATGCATCATCATATTTGGTGGAAACCTTTCAAAAATCAGAGTTTGTCTTCCTTTTTAATATATAATTAATCTAACTAGGTCTCTTATGTGTCTAAACCGGATGGTAACTCGACATTCTCGTACCAGTGGCAGCATCTCACTAATGATTTAAGATTAGATCAAATTTCATTCAATCAAAACTTAAAACTTCAAATATACTACAGATCCACCACAAAAAGAACAGTCATCTCAAAGAAAGGAGAAACAGTGAACTACAAGTTAGAAGAACAGAATAACCTTTAAATGACAGAGGAAACGCAAGCCACACAATCTTCAAACCAAAATTTAAATTTAGAACTTACTTCACATGAATGGTTAATCAAATGTGCTATGCTTCCAGCCCGGGTCGCGTCTATAACACGCTCATCATCAATTCGAAACATATATGTTCCCGCTCCCTGCACGATAAACATGTTAAGTATTTCAGAATCAGGTTCTTTTGGTATGAGATCAACAATAATAAATTATATGAACTACTTGACACTGTAAATGAGGAAATTTCATATCATTCGAATGGATAAATATAATAGAAGCATAGAAATGTAATTGATTTGTAAAATAATGTTGATATGATTAGATAAAATTCCCTTTAATCTTTATATTAGGAAGATATATGGATACACCAAAAAAACAACTAGAATCAGAAAATCAGTTAAAATAGCTTAGAAAAATCAATCATTCAAGTAAACCGTTTAACATGCAAAGTATCACACCTCAAAACCATCAATACAAAAGTGCACTAGAATCTGTCAAAGTCATAAGCTTTATAGCCAATCAAGCATATTTTCAGTTTCCAGTCTGAACAGTACAAGAGAGAAATGTATAATAATTTATGAGAAAGAACTCCATGTCGCTGGTGCACTGATTTATACATGCACAGACTAAAAGAAGATTGCTGCCACTTAGGTTTGGTAAGAATGATGAAGATGATAATCCATAAATCAGAATGATGAACTAGTGGCAGTCACTTAGGTTTCGTAAGCATAATAATTATCTCGTCAAAGGCTCCTGTGTCCTCAGTATAACGGTTCTCCCAATATACTCAACCAGCTCTAAAGAAAAAGAACAATGTTCTCTGAAAGAATGCACATTCTTATTTGGAAAATCATTCCATTGATTATTTATTTATCTATAAACAGAAAATATCCCTGCTTCTGATGTTATACATAAGATCTTGCAATTGAAACCATATTTCTGAACCAATTTCCAATAGAAATCCTTTAATATGGCAGACTCCTAACTACCAAAGTCCACCCATGACATAATGATGAAGAGGCATTCAAACAAATGCAGGTACTTACCACTAATGAATTGTATATCAAATGCTCTCTCCTGTCAGCTACTGGAGCCCGAATGATTTCTCCAATATATTCAATTACCTATTGAACAAGAAAAATAACATTTAACTTGTTGCACTTCCTAATCAATTCTAAGGAAAAGGTAGTGAGAAAAATTACCATGTCTCCAGCTCGATGTGGAACTTTGGTGAAGACACCAAAACCATGTATTCCAGACTTTCCTGTGACCACAATAGTCCACGAGATCAATGACCAAACTAAATACTTTCACTGACTAAAAAAATTGACAGACCAAGTTTTCATTACATCACTGACAAAAAGCTAAAATTGCCACCTTATACATTTTATTTGACATGGATACTATATGAAGGCTATCAGCAAGGTCAACAATAGATATTTTAGTTTGGAGGAAAAATACAGAGAAGCTCCTTCAAATTAAAACTTTTTATATACATAAAATAGAAAAATAAGAAATAACGAAAGATATTAATGGCACTCTAATGCACATTCAAGACCAAGTAGGAGGCCTTTTTTTCTTTTCAGAGCATGATAACAATTAACTGAAAATTTACCAATTGCCAGTCTCTTTCGGAAAGTATCTCTCATATAGTTGTACTTGTCGGCCAGAGAAAGAATCTTTCCAGATGGTTCGAGTTGCAAAATTTGTAGCTTCTGAAGGTGAGTAGAGTATTTAGAACCACCGAATTTGTCGGAGGACGTTGCATTCCATAATGGCATACGAGGGCTGCACCCACCAATCAGGTACAGCTGATTCTCCACATACAAGCGCTTGAAAGAAGCAGAAGGGACCTCAGGATCGTATCTTCCCCGCCTTTTGGAAAATATAAGAGGCTCTATTTACAAAGAGAAAAGAAGAAATCAAATATTCAGAAGACGACGCTAATGTATTTCCGTAAGGCAATTCTTCGCAATTCTTCTAAAGCACGTATAAAGAAACCAAATACACAATCCCACTAGTGAGCCAATTATATAATTCCAAGAGTAATGAGAAAACAATGTCAAAGCTAGGATCAAATGAAAGCTACCCATTTCCCAATCATAGCCAATCACTTATCAACTTATATTCCTAAATATGTTGTGGATTCAGGATGGACCGAAAGGATAACGGTTCAGGATGAGAAAAGGGATAAAAAAAAAGAATAAAATTATGGAAAAGCGGGTCAATTGGGAAGAACTTTTACAATGATAGGACATGTAGGCATCAATTTTGAAAAATGAAGTGGAAGGTATCAGTAACTACATATGGCCTGCTGGAGAATTATCAGTAATTTCATTAGTGACGTTGGGGGAAAAGTAATGAGAAAACAAGGTCAAAGCTAACTACAAAATATACCATTGAAAGGATCAAATGAAAGCTACCCATTTCTTAATCATTGCCAATCACTAATCAAACTTATATTCATGAATATGATGTGGATTCAGGGTCGACCGAAAGGATAACGGTTCAGGATGTGAAAAGGGATAAAAAAAAGGAATAAAATTAGGGAAAAGCGGGTCAATTGGGAAGAAGAACTTTGACAATGATAGGACATGTAGCGCCAGGGCATCAATTTTGAAAGGTGAAGTAGAAGGCATCAGTAACTACATATGGCGTGCTGGAGAATTATCAGTCGTTTTTTCATTATATTGTCGCTACTTAAGTCATGCCTTATCGTTATTGTAATTTCATTAATGACCCCAAGCTGCTGGATGAGTAGGACATATTGCTGTAAAAGTCATTATCCTCTCTCTCATAAACAATTAAGAAAGAACAACAGAATAACATTTATATGGAATATAAAAAAAAAATATATAAAATTAATAAGACAAGAAATGGTATTACCAGTACGAGCACAACCAGAGAGATTTATCGGTGGGATAAATTCTACTTTTTCACTGGTTTTTTGTCCAAATTGTTCATCAAAAGGCAAACGTTCATTAGATGAGGGCCTATGCTTCTTGCAGAAAGAGAGTAGTTGAATGCACTGATCCTCCTCATCCTCGTCAAAAGGAATCAAATGCAGTCTATCCTTATCCTCGGGCTTTAAAGAAGATAAAAATGACATGCATGGTGTGAGAATGAATTAGCAGTCAAAGCCAACCAGTGTCCTAAATCAAGTATATATAACGTGAACAAGTTCTCATAGAACGAATAATTGCTGAATAAGTAGAGCAGACATTTCACACCTCAAGGCAAAAGCCAGCAACACGAGCACAGAGAGGATGATATGCCACGCGGCAATTATTGTTTGAGCACTGCAAAATAATTATAGATAATGAAATGGTAAAGCAATATATAACTGACACTTAACATTGAATCTTTTGAAAGAAACATTAAATCAAGATGGAACAACACATAAATCAGATAGTTCTACTCTCAGACAATGACCAGAACACTATATCATCTCATTTTGCTCCATTAAAATTTTGAAACAGCACAAACGAATCGAATTCCATTTCATATGATAAGGATAAAAAGCAGTAGCATCAGCAGTGCTGATTGCTAAGCAGGAAAGAGAAACAATGGCTCCTTAATTAAAAATATTGCTGTAGAAACAGACATGACCATACATGCCATGTGAACGAACTGAACTAACTAAGACTTTTCCTATGATACATTATTAGGCATAAATTTAGAATTGGAACTCATAAATACATCAAAATCAAATTTTTTGAGGCCTTAAAATGAATTCGCACATGTTAATGAAGAAATGGCTTTGCCACGACAATCGACGAACATTCAAAGATAAAACATGCATTTTCCAACACCCTTTTAACAATGTAATATCAACCTCACCACCAAAAAATAATAAATTAACAAAAAAGGATAGGAAGAAATGGAGCATTTTAATTTTTCAAAGAGAAGCAGCTAAGTCAAAGAAAAAGAATAAGGTACCTGGATACAAGCTCCATGAGGAACACCACAGATGCTACATAATAGCTTCCACCGATCCTTTATAGAAACAAAGAAGAAACTAAGGGTGTGCTTGGATACAAAAATTTTCATTTCGTACTCAATTCAAATTAAAATCTAACTCAACTTTAACCCAGCTTCATTATCCTCAATATTATCAATATATTTAAATAATATCAATCAACAATTTTTACACATCACATCAACTTTAATTCAGTATTCATCCACTCACATAATTTTAACTAACCATCACTTCACATCATCTCTCCTACTTTTACATCAAATCAGTTTTAATAATTAATTTTTAAATATTATTTTAATGTAAACTCAAAACCCACTAACAACTAACAATATTTTTTTTTTCAAATTAACCCTACTTAACCAAAAAAATCCATTGAGCGAAATTTTTTGTATCCAAGCAAGCCCTAATATTTAGGATGTCTAAGCATGAAATAATTATCTGACAAATAATCTAATAATATTGTATTAGCTGTGAAATTTTTGCAGGGATTGTCATAAGATGTGGGAAATTTTTGCAAGGATTGTAGTAAGACTGTTGGCAAACACTTGAGTTTTATATATTTCCATTTTGAGGAAGTCAGAACTAAAGAAATAATCTCCAAGAACACTGTGAAACCTAGGAAAAAGATGGTACCTTGTTGATTCTAGAAAGCCCATCAATAGGCTCCATCTTCTTCACATCAAATAAACAGGTTTCTGCATAAAAATAGATTACATAAATAAGTCCAAACATTTCATACCAAAAAAGTAAATGCGAGTGTGCACATATATTTGTGAATCACACAATAGAAACCTGGAATCCATATGGCACAAGCAAGATGAGCCCAGCGCCCATCAGTAGTGGGCTTCATAGCACCTCCTGAGCAAATTCACATACACCGTTAGATGATGTTTTCATTTCAATTACAGCAGTAAATGCCCCTAAATCGCCCTAACAACTGAAAAAGGAAAAATGCACAGACACCTGTCAATTACCTACTATAGGACACAGGCAGCATCGAGGAGGAGATTCAGGAGCTCCAGGACGACATAAGTTGCATAACCAAAGAATGCCACCAGTAGGCTCAAGTTCTCCATAACATCTAGCATGAACCTGAACAAATATTGTAGCACAAAAAATAAGAACCCAAATAAAAAATATAATTTAAGGAAATTTTGAGATTGCAATCCATCTGATAAATCGATTCAGGTAGAACTCATCCTGAAAAAGTTACACAAATTGGAGAAAGTGTCTAACCCACATATATACACAATATCAGCAGCAATCTGCCAAGGTCGATAAGCACAATTTTTATCTAACAACCGACACATCAAGAGTGAAGATTCAAACGGGGATAGTTCCAAAACCGGGGCCATCTCCAAACAAGAGGATTAAGTGCTCAGATACCATGATAAGTCAGCTTTAGTATGAATCACCCCCAAAGTTAGCTCAATAGACAAGGCGCATAGGCGCCCAACCCACATTTGCACACACCAATAGTCCAGACTCCCAGAAGTGCAGGGTGCGGGACAAACACAACTTCTAACACCATCTTATTTGCAACTAGCACATGATGCATCATTATGAAATGTCCAAGCAAGTGAAGATGCTGAAGGACAAGGAATTTGCACACGTCCAAGCAAGTAATAATGCTGGAAGGCAAGGAATTTTGAAACATAGCATGCTGATGAAAATAATGGATCTGTAGAAACTCTAAGATCACAGGAGCTGATACTCAAGTCATTTTAACAACAACAACAACAACATACCCAGTATATTCCCAACAGGTTGGGGTCTGGGGGGTCAGTTGTACGCAGACCTTACCCTTGTAATTATACAAGGAGGCTGTTTCCGTAGCGACCCAAGGTGCATTGCGCCGTTTGATATATTTTTTTTTTCTAGAAACTTCACTAATAGAAGAAGCACTAGAATTTAATTGAGCCATTTTGATCTAGTCCATTATTAGCACTATGCCAGGAGAATTGTCAACAATGACTCTTCCAGCTCCATTTGCAATGGACAAACTCAAGTCATTTTAACAACAACAACAACAACAACAACAACAACAACAACAACAACAACATAGCCTTTAGTCCCAAGCAAGTCATTTTAACATGCCAGGAAAATATCAGCTCATTAATGGAAATCAGACACACTGCAGTGGCCAATTTGCTAAGAGTATAACTGCACATTGGTGTTGCGAGTAAAAATATGAACTGCCGGTCAAGCTTCTGTATTTATTGTAGCTATCAACTGCTTATTGCTGGGTCTAAATTTTACAGATCAAGCTTCTGTAGCTTAATATATGAGGGAAACATAGAAAAAATTGTCACTCTTAGCTAGGCTTGTAGGAATTTAAAGCTATTACATATACTTATGAATAAACATATGACAAGAAAATCTCACATGCTCATAGTAGAACCACTATATCATCTAATGTTGCAGATAAACCTAGACAGAACTAAGTTTTTCATTTGTAACCGTGAGGCCACAAAACACATCATGCAAATCTAGAAAACTTAACTAGAAGCACCAAAAAAATACCTTCCAAACAGTCATTAGAAAGTTAAACATACCCTGATAACTTCCCATTATTTTAATAACTAGTGGCAAAGCTACTAATAGAAATGATAGAAATGTACCGCAAGAAGAACCAACTCACTGCATTGATACACAAAATTGGAGAAACGGACAAGTTCAGTCAAAGACAAAGGATAAGGGAACAAAAAAAGAAAAAGAAAAAGACTCACCATCATCCTGCATTTATCACACTGAAGAAACAGATTATTCTCGTACTCCTGAAGCAAATATTTCACGTTAGAAGGCTAGAAGATTTATAGGTTATTTTTGCAAGGAAAATAAGATGATAACCTAATTATGTTACATAAAAACAGAGAACTATAACTTGGAAGGTAACTTTGGCTCTCTAGGTTCAGCGGAGATAAAATGAAAATGANTCAAGGTCCCTCCATGCAACATGAACTTCTCTGTAACCATCATGTTTAGATTTCCTGGATTCCAACTGCAAAGATTTCAAAGATGACCTGGAACGTGACATTTCCTGTAAATTTAAGACCTAGATTAATAGGAAGGGAGCAACATGGAAGAAATATCCAGGTAGCATGAAATATATGACATTCAACTTAATCATAAGACAAATGAGCAGATGGTCAAAGACAAATGTGACTGCCATGAACATAAAGAATGTGGTATTATAAGACAAACGAGTTTTAAAATATAAGAAAGATTGCAAAATGGAAATGTATAGTGGATTGATCAATTTGCAACCATGACCATACAGATTGCATATATGCAATGTTTAATGCAGGTCAATGGACAGTACCAGTCATAAATTATCCAGAGTTACACCATCAAATGTCTTCTTAATAATAGAAATTACGAGATCCACAGTAGCAAGGATAAACTTACTTGAAAAATCCAGAACTCAAGAGAGAATGTATCTTATAGATTTTCTTATCCTTAAATTGGAATTGAATAAAGAGCATCTTCCAGTCATATTAGGCAAACTGTTCAAACAAATATGGATAGAAAAAATTGACATCCACAAGCATAGAAATGTTCCGATGAAAGCCTTCGCTACTTAAGAGTCTAAGACAAATATAGATGTAGTGGAATTTCCTAACTGAATGTTTCATTGTAATACATAAATGGAAGACAAAATCAAAATGAAAAAGATGATTGCGAAACAAATTTAATTTGCAATTATCAGCACAATAGGCTCTCAGGAAGTAATTAATAGTGTCGATTAGTACCTTTATGAGTTTGGAAACTTTTGAATGAGAAAAACCAAACATAAAAGAGCCAGACGCAAAACTTTGATCTGCTTTATAGTCTCGATTTCTGATTTGTGATGTCCTGATCCTTTTGTATATGTTGTTCCAGCAAGTAGATGGGGTTGGGCCAGTGAACTGTGTGATAAAAGTATTCAACAAAAAGAACAACACTGAATAAGCAGATTCGTAAATTAGGCAGCAAATCACTAGGGAAGGAAATGGTCAGGACTTGTGGTAAATTTAATGGGGGACAAATCAGACTATCAAATAAGAGATGAACAAAATAAATGCGAGGGAAATATATAAATTATTTAAAGAGAATCTTATCGAACGGCTAAGAGGAAACAAGTATATTCAAAATCTTGATTAAAAAATCATAAACAAATTGATTAATTAAAATAGAAAATATATTTGTACGTATTCAAACATCAAACCTTTACTTCTATTTGGGGTATTGTAGAAGGGAAGGAATAATAAGAAGTAAATAACCAACAAGATACAAGTTCGAACCCTGGTGGGGTATGCCCTTTTTAAAGGAAGAAAGATACCACTTGAGCTATGTGCTTGTGGTAACTTTAAACCTTCCTTTTCATGGCTAACTGAACCTTTCACAATGCACAACAAACTGGCGATCTTCGCCCTCCAGTAAAAGATCAAGTTGACAAGAAATCGAAGAAATAATATTCATCCCAAGTTAAATGAGCAACAGATCAATGATGAAGATAATCCACTGCTGTACCCATTATTCAAAATTGCCTTCCATGGAACCTTCGCTTCAACCTTAGCTTGACAAAATTTCTTCACACTTTTTACTTGAAAAATATAGAAGAACTAACACTCTTCAATCAGAATCAAATATGTGTGGAGCTCTTATGTCTGTTCTATTACTCAAATGTTCCTTTTGTAAAGACAGATACTTTAGAATTGACTCGAGGCATTTTCACTACCCATTCTTACCCCCTAAAAGCAAAAAAAAAAAAACATTCAAAGAATGGAATAAACTATTTGAATTTTGGAAAAGCTAGAATGCTAGAATGCTCCACTCATTGGAGCAACAATGAGTAGCAGCAGTACAGGAATTTCGGGTGAGCTCCATACAATACATCTTTCAGCCTAATGAACCATCTAGGTGATTAGATTCCATTTAGTTTCTTTGACATAGCCACATATCTTTAGAACAAAGAAAAACAATCTTTCTTCTGATGAGCATCCTTCACCACAATTTTCCAGGAATACTACTCATTGTACAAGGGCAACTTTGATTGGCCTTACTTACCCTCCTTACAACTTTCAAACAGCTGAATCAAGGAGATCCTCTTCTAAGGATGACAGAAGGCTCAATCTAGTAGATGTTTGCTACCTATACCACTTGGCCAACTACATTTCGAGCAAGGAAAAGACGCTGCACTTTAATTATAGATTGATGAGATTAACTTGATATATGTCTCACTCAGCATTATATTGGACTTGAGGCAGATTGAAAACCAATCCAATGATGATCACTCTAAACATCCTAGGTTGAAACAGAGCAAATACCTAAGTACAAAAAGACCATGCCTGACTAGTGAGTAATGTCATAATATACTCATCAGACCACACATGGTGAAAGAAGAAATAGTGCCTTAAGACTTAAAGAGGATAGGAAGCCCTCAATTATGCCAAGTGTAGGTTACAATATAATCTTGTGATGGCACAATTAAAAATTATCTTATACTGGTGGATGTCTCAAAGAAATTCTCCACAAACTAGAACTAACAACAAGCAGTTCACAGAAAAGATGCCATTTCAATCAAAAAAAAATGTATCGGGATATTCCCCATCAGAAATTACAGATTCACCAGGTCGATGCTCATCTTACATATGAACCATCAACTTCTTAAATAGTCATATAAAAAAATATTAGCTCGGAAGGTAAACCTCATATATTCAACAGAATCACTTGTAAATAAGACATAATAAGCAGAAAATTGGTGAAAAAGAAAACGTGAAGAGAAGAAGATAAAAAGAGAAACTAAAAAATCTGACCCAGCAGAAGATAAAAGGAGCAAGTAAATTAAAAATACAGGCAAAGGAACAACCAAATTTGAATGTTGTGGTATGTAGATTATGTAATACCTCTTCTCCATTATCTGCCGTAACTCTAAAGAGAGGCCTTAACCTTAAGTCAACATCTCTTAGTACTTCCATCTTATATAAAGCATTAACGCTTGGATCTGAGGCCAAAAAGTCAAAAAACCAATGCGTTAAAAGGTTGAACGAACAAAATATACCAGCTACCATGCAGCACAATTAATAGTTGCAGGTCAATGATTAACCTGTTATCGAAGGAAACATCCTCACAGCAGTATATCCCTCAGGCCATTTTAATTTCTCATCTTGGAAATTACAGGTGTCCTTGACAATTTTTCCTACATGAAACTCACATGCAGAATATATTAATGACTGATTCATTGATTATGCGGACGAAGCCTTCTGTTTATGAATGTTCATATGAAAAATCAGTAATCAAAATGTAGTGGTAATTTATGAGGCAATCTTTGTTTAGTACAATTATATTAACACAGCTAGACATACCAAGGCTTATTATATGCAACTCTCCATCTTCCAAGGGGCAGCTTTTTAGATCAAGAAGTTTCTTGCTTATTTCTTCATGGCTCATGCATTCGTCATCACCTGAACCCTCATTATCTTCAGCATCTACACTTTTACCATTATCCATATCAGTATCAACGCCATCTCGCAGCTGAAGCATTCTTTTCGGGAGCCTATGTTCAGTAAGAAACCTGATCCAAGCAGATTCTCAGTTAGTTTCACTGTGATAATAGCACAGGCACAGCGAAATACTATACTGTAATGATAAAACCAAGTAAAATAGTTAATAAGTAATTATATGATTTATGGCACCTAATTTTCTCCACAAGAAGTAAGTGATGCATGATAACATGCAGCCATAACACACTCCAGCAGGATATAGAAAATTATACACATATCCTTGGAGTGGGGACAGAAGGAAAATGATCGGCAAACAGATAGCTCAATAAGCAGCAGCTGAGCATCTGATTAGCTCAACAATCATATCAAACTGATATGACACTGAAATCAAACATGCCGCTGAGACTGTAAAACCATGAATTGAACTCTAAATCTTACAGAAAAAAATCAAAAGGTCAAATGATAGTTTAACCGGCCAAAATCCGACTCACACTACATTTAACAATCAGCACTATTAAAATTCAATATCAGCAGGTTCTAGTTAATCTTCCACTAATTGTAGCAGTTTGTACATGATGCCTCTACATCAAAGTTCTGACCAATCAGTTCTAAAATCAATTAATCAAACATTAGAAATATTCATAAAGAATTGGACTTGCCATCTTTCATGCCACAGAAAAATCTGTAGATACCTTCCATGAACATTAACTTTTGAACTGTAAAAGTCAATCGAACATCCTAACCAAATTCATATACAAGATACTGAATGGCAGGCATCGAAAAAGTAAACTATAATAACATCTAGAATCTACCTTGTGGTCTTTCTCTAAATTATTAGCTTTCATGAAACAGTAGACTAATGAGAATCTGATAGCATAAAAAACAAACATTCTCACATTTCCGTTAAAAATACTTTCATTGATAACTAAGCATAATCTTCATGAACAGCAGCTAAAAATACTCACATTTTTGCTTCTTCTAATCCTCGAACAAATGTTGGCTTCTTGCACTTTGAATGAAAAGATGAAACGAGGCCCTTCAGGAAAGAAATAACTTGTTTCCGCATCACCCTGAGCATTAATTAAGAGAAAATGCAGGGTATGAAGATGACGATATAATATGTCTCATCAATATCCACCCAGATTTCAATATTCCAGTAACTGTCCCAGGAGTCTACACTAGGGAACAAATCATAAACAAAACGATAATGATACCTAGCAAAATCGTGGGTACCAAAGAATTGTACAAGGACCGATTTTTCACTAGAAAGTTTCTTTAAACCCTTGTGTTGACCGACCTGAGATTCATCCAACACAATTGCTGGCCATACAGCATGCCCTGCATTAAAGAAAATGACAGATTTGAGTAATTAGTTAAACTTAAAGCAACCTCATCAAATAAAAAACTGAATCTTACGACAAATACATATAACCAGAAAGTTAAGGTTAGAAGGATTAATGAGGGTCAAGCTTGGGCACCGACCCTGCACCTTTACAGAAAGATAAATCACGGGAGGGGACAAAATGTCTGAACTTCAAAATAAGTGCTCCACCTCCAGAACATATAAAGCATAAAAGGAATATGATGCACCAGTCAAAAACCATGTTGTGAAAATAAAGAGGAATTAGAATTACAAGTCATATAGTTCAATGAATTTAAACACTTCAACTCACATATTCTCATAGCATGTAAAAATGAGGCTCCTACCACTATCCAGCAAAGTGTGTCTTCTTATACCCCGAGTCTGTTTAGTTTCAAACTGAGTACAATGAAGCTAGCTAAAAGTATTCAAACTATTTCCTTTAACAAGTGACAGAATTAAAACAAACAAATAATGCGCCACTGCACTGGCAGCGAAGAGACAAGTAATTATATAACATCTAACATGAGCCCAGTACGCCTTTAATGCTATAAGTATAAATAGTAATATAAACTGATCGCCTGCATATGTAATTCACTAGAAAAAATCAACCTTCAACCTCATGTGGGGTCAAAAGCTCATATAGACCCACCAGTGAGTTTAGCCCAAATAACGTCCCCAATTTCAATCTCCTGGCAGTCATCCAGGCTAGCTGCTAATGCCATCATCTCATCCACATCAATCCCATCAGAATCTGGCTTCTTGTTATGGGATTTCAGCTTTAGTCTCTGTGTGTCCTCAAAAGAGACGTGAAACTTTATTCGTTCATTTGATAAAATCAGATTTTCTTCCTCTTCATCCTCGTACTTCACCTGCATCACACTCCATATACTAGTGATATACTCATTGATGATATTCGTAGGTATAGCCGAGAAAAAACGACTAATTAAATAAAAGAGGATTACATGGTGTCGGCCAGTCTCGGGATTGTAACCAACTATATGGCCAGAATACCAACTTGCATCGAGTGGCCAATATACCTATCATTAACTCTCAAATTACATAAATCAATACTGCAAGCATAGATGGAAGGTGCAGTTGCGTGAAAAATGAGCAAAAATGCTTGTTTTATGAATCAAAGTAGATACAGAAATAATTGTCGATTCACACGATGGTGCATCCCTTAGATAAACAAATTCACATGTGTATAATAACACCAAGTGCACACGTGTATCAGGCACTTTAAGAATAGTAAAGTTCTTACCTTGCAGTGTAGCCCAATAAATTTCTCTGGATGAACACCCTCAAAGCTCAACCTGCAATCAAGGAACATACTGAACTGAATACCAAATGGAAAATTAAGAATGAATAAGTAAACGGACATCCAGAGGAATTAAAACCTGGGAAAATCAACACATACCAGACCCAGTTCTTCGTCCCAGTCGCCATAGAATTTTCCAAATCAGATTCCGAAACATCGTTTTTCCGTTTCCTGTTCTCGCAATGACTGATTTTGCTAACAGTGTTCTTATTTTTGCGAACAATGCTAGAAATATTTTTCTCCGTGCTATCACTCAAGGAGATGTTACTTTCACCAACATCGTTCCGAGTAATGTTGTCTGATCTATCACCCAACCCTACATCACTTCCCATCTTCCTCCGCTTAATCCGTCTTTCCAGATGTTCTCCGCCATCAGCCTCCAGTTCTTCCAGCTTGTGGACAAAACTCTCGAAGAAAGAGGGTTCTCTCTCTTTTCTCGTCCGCCGCCTGAAGTAAACATGAGTCAGTGTAGGGTTCACCGCGATCGGGTGCGGCTGTTTGAACTGGTCGTGGCCATTCATCTGGGGCGGTTTGCGAGCAGCAGCCTTCACCTTTTTGGATCCCCTAGAGGTGACGCAAGGAGAGGTGGCGGAGTACACATCGCAGAGCGAGATGTACTTGAGGGGAGCATTGCCTCTCTGAAATTCATCCTCTTCGCGCTCGTCCAATGCCGGGTTCAGCTTCGGGACGGATAAATCAGCAGATGAAGGCAATGCGGCATCGGCCATGGCGAGATAAATTGCAACCTGTCGCCCGTCACTGTTTGTTTTCCCGTCTGCACATATGAATTTTTTAGGGTTTTCGAGGAGGGAGATTGTCTGATTTCCCGCCGTTTGGCACCTGAAAATTGAGATTGGCAGCCGTTCAATGTTTTATTTATGCGCTATATATATATAGCACCTGCAGAGGCTCTCCATCCCACGTGTAATTTATTAGCACAATCCAGCAATTTTCACTATTTTACTATTCCTGTTTTGGGGAGTTATTTCAATCCTATATCACAAAAATGTCTTGCAGTGACAGTAGAAGCAATCCAAATGGAACAATTGGTTACTCAAAGTGTTCATTCTTCTCCATTGAATTTGTTCTTTTATGCATACCATGACTCACAGCGGGAGAGATTTGCATTTGTTCTTTTATACATGTGATGACTCACACCGATGTAGAGAGTTGAAAATTTGAAAATTTCTAATGGCATATGGATTGTTCTATTTTTTGTGAGTTGCACTTTATTGAGAGTTGCACATCTCCCATGATATGTGAATTGTTTTATTTTGTTGTGAGTTGCACTTAGAGTATCTCGTGAATTGTTCTATTTTGTTGTCACATGGCACAAATAATTTTATGTGGAATGAAAAATGTCTAGAAGTCTTTTTAGATGTAAAAATACTTCTAGAAAACTATGTAAAAGTACTTCTAGAAAACTCTTAGTATATGTTATATTATTTATTCATTTTTTCTTTTTTCTCCTATCAATTACTATTTTACACATGTCAAATTATACTACCATTTACTTTAACCATTAGATACACAATTTCTTGATTCTCTTTCTCCATATTATACAATATAAAATAGACAATGCTCTATAGATTCAGCTAGGAACATAGCTGAATCTAGACGAATGTCTACACAACGGTAGCCTAGAACCGGATATAAACAAACACACACTAAACAAAACTTATCTAACTCTCACATGGAAGAAGCAACTACTCCAATAAAGCGTAATACAAACACAAAACAAATACAAAAACATAATAAAAACACAAAAACGACTAGTAAATAGCATAATGTCCTCTTTGTCTCCCACGCAACAAGCCACCGCAATGCCACTTCAATCGAAATTCAAAAACAACAAACCCAGACAAGTGAGACTGCAATCAAGACACCAAAATCAGAGAACTCCGAAACGACTCCTCCGCCTAGACATATCTAGAAATTGTTGAAAACACCACATTTTCGAAACTATCCCGAACCGTCTTCACCTCCCTCAAACAAGCCAAGTGGCTCCAGATCCATACCCCAGACCCAAGGAGAAAAATGAAACTGAAGGCCCTCGAATCAGGGCCAAAAATCATAAATCGGGGGGGAGACCGTCGAAGAAAGGTGATGAGCAAGGTTAAAACGGTGGCAACGGCCGTGTTGGGTTCGATATACAAGTGATACACAGCTTAAATTAAACAAAATAAAACAAGGATTTATCGAATAAATACTAAACTCGTCACATCTCGCAGCTATTGTAATGATCGACATATTTAAAATCACGTAAAAGTACGAATTTTGATTTGTATAGGGAATCAATTCCTGGGCATGTGGCAATTACCGTCTCGTTTGCTTTGTCATAAAGATCTACACATCTTCCTTCCAGGCAAGTCCGCCTTTTAGATTATAGTTTCGAGAATAAGTTCATTGCTAATAAAACTTATCCCGATAATGAATTGATATTTGGAATAGAGAGGAGTTTTCATATTTTCCTCTTTCTCTGGACGTCATATGTCCAGATGTTGAACCAAAAAACTAAAAACTGGGAGATGAGTTTTTGGGTCACTCAAACTCTTGGAATTAGATGTGTCTCTCGTATATGTAACAAGCCCCTTTTGCAAAGTATATATATATATATATATATATATATATATATATATATATATGGTGGATCCAATGGGAACCCTTCTTAAAATGAATATGTGAGACTTAATTTTATCCATTGATTTGTGTACAAATCTAAGGGCTACGATCTCTCAGTTTGCCATTACGTTCTTCAGTCCTCATCTCATCCTTTCTTCTCTTCCTAAAGCTCACTTGAAAATCATCCCTTAGAACGTCGATAGAGATTGTCGAGATTGCCGTCCTCTGCGGCCGTCTCCAGTTGGAAATCTATCATTATGAATTCGAAACCTCTCGCCGTCAAAGCTCTCCATTTGCGGCGGTGCGCTCTCAGAAAAATTCTCGATCAACTCCTTCACCGTCCTCACCAAGCTATCGAGCTTGCAAAAGTTGTCCCTGGTCTCCCTCAGGCAGTGGGGCTCACCGCCGCCCAAGATCAACCGCTTTAGATCCCTCGAGCTCCTCAAAACTCAATGCCAACTTCCTGCTCATCGAAATTCTCCAGTCGATCGCCGCCTACCGAAGCCTAAAGAACCTCGTCCTCACCGACAACCTTCTCAATGGCACCGCACCGGACCTGGGCGGCTTACCGCCCCTGGAGGATCTCGATCTCAGCAGAAATTCTGTAGGCCTCAAATTCCTATCTTTGGGGACCAACCTCGTTCGCCTCTCGCTCGTGAACAACTCGTTCAGATCCGAAATCCCAACTATACTTGTAATAATCAGTTAGATGTGTCCAATTATCATGTTTCGAGATTTTTAGAACCTGCAGGGTAGTTAGAGATAAGAGATTAGATGGGATTGTGATGTTTGTCGATGATAGTAACATACATCGCCTTGAGTTGTTTAATGAGATTTAGAATGTCAAATGGGTGGGTGAGGTTTCGGTTGGAATTCTTGTGCAAGTGGGTAGTTCAGAAGAATTAGAATTGCCCATAAATCGAATAGATGAAAATGGAAAAGATGAAAACAAATAATTGTTACCAATTAAAGGCCCAACTTGCAACTCTTCAAATTAATTGATCGACTATCACACTTTTGATACACTGTCGTTTGTGGAGAGGAGGGGGAGGTATATTGGTGGCAATGCAGTTGTGCTGTCGAGGAAGCTTGAGTGGGCTAGATTTGTATTTAACTCAGTGTTTTCAATAGCGTTTTTTCGCGCGCTACAGAGCGCGCTATTGCGCCATTTCACCTTGTTGATATCCGACTTGATTACTCAATTAAAGGTAAAGATTAATCATTTCATTGAAGAAATAATCCTCTGGAAAAAGACAAACTTAGGACAAGTCGGTATTTATTGAATTAATAACCGACTTTCGAGATCGTCAAAAGCACCGACTATCGAGACAGACACAAACAAACCGACTTCAGTTCAACCAATATTATGACAAGTCGGATCAAGTTTTATCTTTTCAAATCGACGGCCTAAAAGTTCAAATATCCAAGCAGAAAATAGAGCTGTAAGCATATGATTGGATCGTCAAGATAATACAGTAATCATTGGTGTTCTCTAATTCCAAAACACATCACCTTGTTGAAGCTGCTCAACATTAAATACATACTTATCCATTTCAAGCAAGAAGACAAAAACCACCGTACTATAAATAGCAGAATTTATGATAGTACGAGGATCTTTGGATCTTTTTTCGACACATTGTACATGGACTTGAGATGATCTTTCTCAAGAATAAAAAACCGACTCCTGTACTCTTGAGAATATATCAAATAAATTCTAATTTTACTTTAATCTTTGTTTAAACACACTCAGCTGTTTGTAATTTTAAGTTGTTAATTTCATACGCAACACACCTGTTATCGCGACATCGCGTGAGTAAATTTGCGTTCTTCCCAAAAAGCGGCCGCTAAATATGACGTGGCAGGTTATATGCGCTATTTGTTATGCTATTTACGCAATTGCTCAAATTACTCACGCTATTTGGAAAGCTAAACAGATAAGAGAAAAAAAAAAAAAAAAAAAGAAAGATGCGGCANAAAAAAAGATGCGGCAGAAAGGATCCGTCGACGGCATCTCGCTTAGGCTACCGGAGGAGGAGCGCCAGCGCCGCATGGATTTCGTGCCGGAGGAGTCCACCATCAAGATCGACCACGTCGAGGCTCTGCAAATTTTCGAAGAAGAGGGCTGGAGTGAAGAAGCTCTGCAAATTTACTGTTGAATTTTTAAGAGTCTTTTGAGAGTGATGACAAAAACTTCTCTCTCTTCAATTATTAATTTTTGAGAAAGTTCGAGACACATGGCTTTAAATCTTATCTTATTGCATTTTAATTTAAAAAAGAAAAAAGAAAAGAGGGAGCGGGCAATTGAGAAAGGATGAGTACTAGACAACACAAAAGATATAGAAAAATAATTGGACCAAACTTATTGAATACAATTACTTGTTGAATGTAATTTTGTATATTAATATTAATTTTGTGATTGAGGAGTATTTAAGTTCATTTATTTTATTATCTATTTGGTTTATAAATATATATTTATTATTTTTTATTTAAATATGAATTGCTCGAATTACCCACGCTATACGCTACGCAACGTTGAGACCAAAACGCGATGAATAACGTTATACGCTTTTTAAAACACTAATTTAACTTGAGGTTGGTGTGGGAGAATGCAGAGGAAAGGCCAGTTTGGGCTAAGGTTTTGGAAGTGGTTGTTAGAGATGGGAAGATTTGGAAAGCTTGTTATCATTGTTGAAGGATACTTTAGTGGTGGAGCCTCTTGCAGCTGTGGCCGAAAAGTTCTGCTGTGGTAGTTGCATGTGGAGGCAAGGGAAGATAAGGAATTCCCCCTAAGGTATGCATAATTTGAACTTTAAACCAGAATTGTAGGTGTGAAATTCTATGATTTGCCATTTTTTTCTGTGGACCGACAAAGCATTTTGGCCGAAAGTAATATTTAGGTTTCCTGATATTGTTCCTTTTTGTGGACCAACCTCATTCGCCTCTCGCTCGCAAACAACTCGTTCAGATCCAAAATCCCACAGTTCCAGTCGAGTTAAGTGTGCCGTGTTTTGGTCTTGAAACGTGTTTTTGCTGGAATTATTGAACTTCTTTCCAGCAAATTTATTCTTATATAGTTTCTGACTAATCATGCCGTAGTTTCTCGCAATCAGCGCAAGAGCCTCTTTCAATTCGCTGTTGTCTACCATTGAACCTTCATCATCATCATTGTCTTCTTTCTCCTCGACTACAGCTGCTTTGAGAGCAAGTCCCTTGTTTTTGACTTTGTCATAATTGTTGTTGATTTTGAACATCCTGAGATCACCAAGAAGTTCATCAACATCTAGAGGCGCAATTCTTTGAAAGCTCTCAAGAGCCGTAATTTTCTCTCTGAATCTTGGCACAACCGTCCGCATAACCTTTTGAACTTGACGATTTTCAGAGATTTCTTCTCTTAGCATCCCACTTTGATTTACCAGATCACAAAATCTGGCATAGTACATATCAATTGTTTCTTCATCCTTCATTCTGATTTCATCAAATTCAAGCGTTACACGTTGAAGTCTGGATGCTTTGACTGTCGTGGAACCTTCAAACTGACGCTGTAAGATCCGTCAAGCATCTTTCGCTGTCTTGCATTGAACAATCATCTTGTGTCGGGTCTGATCGACTGCCATCATGATCGCATACAGGGCTCGATAGTTCGCTTCTTCTTGAAGGTTTTCTGCGTCAGTCCAGATGTCTTTAGGTTTAGGCACAGTGCCTGATGAAGGTCTTTTCCCTTGATCTGGGGTTGCTGGCATGACTGGATGTTCCCAGCCATTTTCGACACTTTCCCAAGCACCTTTTCCAAGAGATCTCAGAAAGATCATCATCATTGATTTCTAGTAGGAGTAGTTTGAACCATCCAATTGTGGAGGCCTAGACATCGATCCACTTTCTTAATTCATGATTGCCCAATCCACACGTCCTTAGATCTTTAGTAAGGAATAAGAAAACCCACTCTGGTGCCAATTGAAGTTTGATCTTGTTTCCCAAGTACCTGGAGTTGCACACACTTTAATTAAACAGAAGTTAGAGAAGATTCAATCAATTGCGGAAGCAGTATAACTTAAGATTGAACCTTCAGGAGAGGGTCCCACTCTCCCTTCAGATCTCTTTCATTAATGCAAACAACACATACATTCTTTAATGGTTTACAGTATAGACTCCCTCTACACTCTACTTTACTACTTATCCGACCACAAATCCCTTGTGGTTTTTCTTGTTTGAATCCCTCAAATTAAAACAGAATGAACCTCCATTCACTCTGTATTTTCCCTCACAATAATCTACTCACTTTCAATCTCTTCATTCAATATAAAATAAAATACAAAGCACTTCAAATCGCACAACTGCGTAATATCTGGTTACCTCCAAAAACAAAAGATAAAAAAAGGTACTCCTTGCAAAGCATCTCATTGTCCTTTTATCTTCAATCACATATGGTAAGTCTCTCGCACAAAGCTTCCCCTCCAAGTCACATTCAGTTATGGTAAGTCCTCTATTGGAAGGTGAATCTAATTGCCTTCCATTGGACCTGCCATAATTAAAAACACATATTATTATTGACCAATAAATTGAAGCAATGAAAAATTAGTCTAAGTAATAAAAACAACTTCCCTTAAATATTCTTGAGACGTCTGAACCTGGGAACTGATGAAGGTTCGTCGATTTACTGCCAATCTTCAAAACTTACAGGATTCATGTGTATTATTTAGATTCAGATGAAGGAGAGAGAGTCCCTAGATTGGGAATCAGAGAAGAAGATCCAACCTCTCTTCAATAATTAAGGGTACAGTTCCGATTGACGCATGTCTTGTCGATAACGTACGTCTTCTGAATACGGCTTCTTTATGTTATTCGACTTGGGCATGATGATGATGATGATCATCATCATCATCATTATTTCCCAAAATGATAGAGGTACTATATTAATAAAACCGCACAAAGTGCGAAAAAAAAGCAGTCAAAGGCTGAATAGTACAACCAGAGACTTTAAAACTGGGAGGCAGATTCGAAGATCGCCTAGAACAGTACAACCAGAGACTTTAAAACCGGGAGGCAGATTCGAAGATCGCCTAGAACCATCTAGCAACGCTAGAATAACAAACTCGCAACTATACTAACAACAAACAAAAACTACCACAACTAAAATAAGAGACCCCAACAGAGTAATACCCAAGTGTCGGATCCCAACAGGATGATAAGGTGACACTCGGGTTCACACGAGTGTTGTGAAGTGGAAATATGAGGGTCCCACTCATTGTAGGTGTCTTATATGGCTGAATATTGTGTATGAGGAAATTAATCAAGCAGTTACAAAAAATTTCATATCTCTCCCTTAACTCCCGTATCTATCTCTCTCTGCTCTCTCCCTTATTCATCTTTATCATCTCCCTCCTTCATCTCTTATTACAGAAAAAATACAAAATAAAATCACAAAAAATAGCAAGATCTTAACAATTGGTATCAAAGCCATCGATCCTTGGAAGATGGCCGATGAATTCATCCTAGATTGTTTAGAGCTACATCAACAACACTTGGAGCAAAAGTTATAATCAGAAATTAAAAATAGAGCAGTTACATATCGAGTACATGACAACATTTTATTACCAAACCCAAGTCAAAGTTCATTTCATAGTCCAACCCCAAGTAGCATTTTTATTTTTACAAGCCCAACTGTTAAGCCCAATCTCCTCTTCTACCTACCAAAACCCTAAAATCCTTGCCTCCTATAAATATCACATTTCACTTAGCACACCACACCATCTTTTACCAACTTGAGCAAATAATCCTAAGTATACAAAAACCCTAAACTACTAAACACTCATAGCCACCACAAAAATCCGACCAGCTCTTTTTCCTTCCAACGAGTCGCCGTCCAGCCGCCGGCGAGTCCCATCCAACCCTCACCGGCAAGCTCACCTCTCGAGTCCCGACCACGTGCCGTCGTCCTCAGGCCCGCAGCCGAGCTTCATCTCTACGTCGACCAGTCTCCGTCGAGCTAGCCGTCCACGCCGGCAACCTCCACGCGCCGTCGTCCTCAAGCTCGCAGCCGAGCTTCATCCTCCACACGACGACGTCCTCTCAAGCTCCAGCAGCCGTTCCCAGCTCCGACAAACACAACTCAGCCTCGCTGGTTCCAGCTGCTCTCCACGTCGTCAGCGACGTCGTAGCTCCCAACCGCTGTCGACCCGATTCGCAGCTCCCTCTTCCACATCCTCACGCCGTCCGTATGGCCGCGTTGCACCAGCTCGCGTGTCGATGAGCCACCAGCCACCTCTGGGTCCAGATCCGACGAGCCTGAACCAGACTTGAGCCATTTATGTCTAGCTACAACCAACCCGAGACCCTCAGCTCCAGATCTGTTTGGCCCGACCCGATCCCTAGCAGCCCGAACATTTTTACTAGTCTAGTCCATCTCTCGATTTCTCATTTGAGCTGTTTCTGAGGTATAATGGCTGAACCTATACTCCATGGCATTAGACATGAATTACGATTAATTTTAAAATTGAGGAATGAGGATTTTGAGCTAGATATGATTTTATATGAATTTATTGAGTTAAATGGCTATAAATTCATAATATATTGTGAGCTGATCCGAAAACTATGATTTAAATTTTATACATCATATATTCATATCTTGAGGTTTAGGTTCGAGTTTGGTGAATTTTGGAGTTCATTTGGTAGGCAAACAGATTTTGTGAATTTGAACCGATAATGTCCGGTTTTAGTTGACCGAGTTAGGAGCTGATTTTTGCTATGAGATTTTTACCAAAATTACAAATAAGCTGAGTTTGTTGTGGTTAAATTTTAATGATTTTTGGAGATCAACTGCTATGCTTTAAAATTTGGGACTTTAGCCTCTTTTAGCGGTATTTTTAGAAATTAATCCGGTTGTGATTTAGCTACAGTTGTTGGACCTAAAATCCTCATAAATCACATAGAACTTAGGGTTAAAGTTTTCGATTAAAATGAGTTAGGAGGATCAGAAAACAAGAGCCCTAGTTTTATCCGTTTCTAAAACTGGGTAATTTTTAGATCCCAGTTTAATCGCCTGAACTCTAGCGCCGTATTGTGACTTTAGAAATCATAGGACTATTAAATGAGTCCTTGAGCTTTCAGGATGTGGTCAGTTGGCCGGTGAGTCGCTGACGAGACCATAACCGATCCTAAGAAGGCTATCGAGGCTGAGTGCCTTGTAGCGAGCGCAACTGACCAACCGACGTGCATTAGCATGTATTCTCAATGCGTACCATCATCCCGCACACGTGTCCCACTCTCGTCTGATCGTTGCAGCCGAGCCACTGAGTGCGTGCCCGTGCACCGAGTCCGACCGAGTTGCGCCCCTACGCTCTGTTCAACGTCGGTGCGTCCGTCCGATCTACCGTCAACGCGTTATTTTTTGTAAACCGTGATCCAAGCACACCCCTGCATTAGTGACCGCGACACCGTTTAAATCCTGTGCGTCGGCAAAGTCGTGTCAGCCGTGTTCGTGCGTGCCCCGAGTTGCTACACCGAATCCGGACCACGATTAAGCCGAGCTGCACATAGTCAAGCGATTGATTAGCCGGTTCCGAGTGAGCTGCCGATCCAGTCTAGCTGAACCAGTCCGGGTAGTCCGGACGATTTGCGGAGAGTATCCAGTTCAGGCGAATCAGTCTGGGCAGTCCGGACGGTTCGGCAGTTTAGTTCGGAACATCGGTTTGAGCGTGAACTGGGAAGCCAGTTTTTTCAGATCCAGTCAGAGTTAAGATTCAGCTAGATTTAAGATCCAGTCAGATTTAAGATCCAGTTGGATTTAAGATTCAGTCAGAGTTTAGTTCCAGAATTAGAAATATTTCAGAGAACTCTAGTATACCTCAAGATAATAATTCTTTCAAATCAGCTCGTAATTTTCGAAAATGAGTTTTAAATGAGATTTAAAACCGAGTGAGTGAACCTAGTCAGATCAGATAATAAAATTTGAGTTTTCATATTGAGTCCAATATTTAGAATATTTCGCTCAATTTTTTTGTAGCTTGAGGAGAGTCGAGCCTCCACTTGCTACCAGTTAGTCCAGCATTTGCATTCGCCAGCATCCAGATGGGGAACTCTGTACTGTGTATCTCATTCTTTTAATTGTTTATACTATTTGAAGTATGTGTGTAAGTAGATTGTAGACCGAGTCGGATGAGTGATCCCGCCTTGGTAAGAATTTTAGATTTCAATATGACTTAGATGAGTGGTGCGATGCCCAGCCTAAGTTAAGCGTCCAAATGAGTGGTGTCGTACCCAGCCTGGATTTCTGTGGGTTGAATACCGGAATACCGTTAGTCCCATAATAGCCGATTTGTTTATATATATGTTGATTTCATGATTTGCTATTAAATGTGATGTATATTCAGTGTCGGTTCTGGTGGAGCATCGTTGATTCATTTATGCTCACGCTACCCCACGAACCATATTTCAGGTGACGGAGTCCCTCGTGGCGCGAGAGCAAGATGAGTGGTGGTGGTAAAGCTAAGGATATTTTAAGATAACATGTCATGTAATATGATTGAATATGTTTGAATTACTTATGTTTGTTGCTTGGTTGTGTTTGTTGAACTTGTACTTGCTTCCGTTTTCTTGAACTGTATTATAGAATTTTAGACTAGTATTTCAGTATTTCAAGATTTCAGACTAGTATTTCAGTATTTGAGAATTTCAGACTGCATGTGTAATTCCAGTAAATTTTCATGGCCTTAATTCTAGAATGAATTTTATTTGGTTGTATGCATAATAGATTAAAGAGAGTTAGATTAAAGTTGAGTAGCATCCCGCAGTTAGATTAAAGTGTTTTCGAAAAAAAGTGAATTAGAACTTTCGAAAATTAAATCAGTGTTTTATATTAATTAGCGCAAAAAATTTACTCTGATTTTCTAGTAATAGTAGGCGGGGTGTTACACTGATTTTTGACATGATGCTCATTGAGCGAGTTGAATTTTGGAAAGGTTGTGCTCTTTGGGCCCTTTTTGAAATGTTTTTCGTGATTTGAGACACGTGCTATAATTTTGAAACGACTTCATTTTGTTTGTGTTTTATGGTCGGCTCTACTGGGCCTTTTTTAGTTTTAGGGCATTTTGGCCTTTTAGTTATAGGGCATTTCGACCGTTTAGTTTTAATGCATTTCATCCTTTTTTTAATGCCAAGATGTATGCATGATGCGTGTATGTGACGAATGCATGAATGTATGATGAATCTATGAATGTGTGAATGATAATGGGCATGTGCGACGAATAACTAACGCGTTATAAATAATGTTACCTCGTCATTTCTTCGGGCTTGGCTTTTTTGTTGAAGGTTGTGAAAGCTAGAATTTTCTGCCGGTAGGTATTGTGCTTTGCCGGAATGTCGGTCGGTAGGTGCTATGCCTTTTCGGAGTCGACCTAAACCACGATGGGGTTTGGTTAACTTTTTGGGCGCTTTAGACCTTCCCGAACCACATAAGGGGTTCGGTTAACTTTTCTAGGCACTAATGGCCTTCCAGAACCACGTAAGGGGTTCAGTTAACTTTTTTAGGCACTAATGGCCTTCCTAATCACTTTGAAGTGCTTGGGTTTTTGACATACAACCTTATCAAACGACCTCTAGGTGTTAAGTAGGTGGACATTGGGCCTTCCTGACTCACATAGGAGTTCGGGCTTTCATAGAAACCTACAGACCCTATATATTGGGGCTCCGAGTTTTTTTATTTTTTTTATTTTTTATTTTTTATTCTTTTTCAGCATTGCGACCGAAGGGCTCAAAGGCCTCCGTGTGGCTGAATAAGCCGAGCTGACTCCCAACGTGGAAAAGTGAATTCGGCCCTGGCATAGATAAGTGACTTCGGAAGCGGGCGTATAATAAATCGGCCCCGTAGAACTAGGCTCGAAGGTGGGCGAATACAGAATCGACGCGGCGGAGCTGGAGCTCATCCACAAGCTAGATGGAGACGTTGACCGGCCGGAGCAGAGTCTCGACAGCGAGCAAAATAAAGACGGAGGCCTGACAGAGCAGGGGCTCGTCGGCGGGTTAGATGTTGATATCGGCTGGCCGAAGCAGAGGCTCGACGGTGGGAGAAATAAAAATGTCGGCTCGGTAGAGCATGTGCTCGTCGGCGGGATAGATGTAGATGTCGACCGGCCGGAGTAGAGGCTCGACGGTGGGTGAAATAAAGACGTCGGCCCGACAGAGCAGGGGCTCATCAGCGGGTTAGATGTAGATGTCGACCAACCGGAGCAGAGGCTCGATGGTGGGTGATATAAAGACGTCGGGTCGGTAGAGCGGGAACTCGTTGGCGGACTAAATGTAGATGTCGACCGACCGAAACAGGGGCTCGAAGGCGCGCAAAATGTAGATGTCGTCCGGCTGGAGCAGAGGCTCGACGGCGGGCTAGATGTAGATGTCGACCGGCCAGAGAAGAGGCTCGGTAGAATAAAGACGTCGGCCCGACAGAGCGGGAGCTTGCTAGCGGGCTAAATGTAGATGTCGATCAGCTAAAGCAGGGGCTCGATGGCGGGCAAAATGTAGATGTCGACCGGCCAAAGCAGGGGCTCAACAGCGGGCGAAATTGTTAAATCAATTCGGGAGAGCTGGGCTTGTCTCGACGAGCGAATGATAAACCAACCCAGAGTGAATGAAGCAGGACTCGTCGGGTGAGTAATAAATCTATTGGGAAAGAGGTCTGTTAAGCGGCTCAGCAAATGGCCATATGAGAGAGCCAGTGCGGCGGCTTGGGTGCTCCGGTCGACAGGGCGATCTGTGAGATCGGATTCTGCCTTCGAGGTAGGCCGTGGTTGTAGTTAGGGGCTCGCTGGCCGCGAGGTTGGGCCCCGGCTGCAAGTTTGAGCTCGGTTGTGAGGATGTACCCATCTTGAGTAGTCGAACATGGTGCTGAGGCTGATCGAGCGGTGAAATCAGTCGGTCTATAGAGGTCGACCGATTTTAGGCGGCAACCGGCTAGGTCGTCCGTGATTAGGCCGCAATTATGGGCTCGTCCATGATTATGTGGCTCGAAAAACTTTGAGGTTGGTCATTCGTCAGTCGATTTGGTGGTCGGCCAGTGAGTTAGCCCGTTAATTATGAGATAAATGGTTTGATGCTGGCCCGGTGGATCGATTCGGACGACAGAGTGGTCGGCCCAGTTGCGATTTGGGGATCCGTGGGTGAACGGTTGCCTTTCCGTTCTCTCATTCTTATTCTTACATTTTTTTTTTACATTTATGCACTACTTATTATATGGGCAGTACACACGCAGGTGTAGTACACACACACACACACACACACACACACACACATATATATNNATTATTATTATTGTTAGTATTATATGTATTATATATATATATATATATATATACACATTGGTGTTTAAGTGTCTAGATCGAGGGATAAGGTACTCACCCTCGGTCCTTGTCCGCCTTCTCCGGTAAAAGTCCCTTTGGAATTTCCATGAATCGCCCGGTATTTTGGATGAGATGTCCACCGGTCTGACCTGTTGGCGGCCACAGAGTGGAGGTCCGGTCTTCCGTGCGAAACTCGGGTTACGATGTGAGGACTGACCCCAATCTCGGCGGTGGCAGTCTGGTCGGATCGCGGCTTGGAGGTGGAGCTCGATGTTGTCGGTGACAGATGTGAGAGTCCCATGTGGCGTGTTTGTAATTGGAGACCAAGGTTGGTGAAGAGGGTGTTTGGTATAGCATACTGTATGAGTAACTCGACCGGGAAATATGTCGAGTTAAGATACTACGAGTCGAGTTAAGCTATAGCAACTTGTGCCAACTACCGCAGGAACCACCAACTCGAGAGTCTCGACATCGAGGAAGAGTAACTCGAGGACCTTGAGAGGTCTAAGAGCAAGCAGATAAGAAGATAGTAATGCTAGTCGATTGTTGTAGCAAATTATGTTATTTACCGAGTACCGAATCACAGGATTCATTCCCCGGGTCGATCTCTCGAGGAAGGTTGGCCGGATTATTAAGCACGTATATTCAATCACAAAAAGAAGAAAATTAAATTCCTAAACACTCTAATTCGTAGATTTGGTTTTAATTATCAACTACGAGAACTCAAACAAATCAAATTTTAATATCAAGCAACGACGAAGATCAAACAAAGATATAACAACTAGGAAGTCGGGGATACGACGGAAATTAATCGACTAATCTTTTAGAATTAACAACATCACACCCGAATGAATCATATCCAACTGAAAATTAATAGCAAGTTCAAGTGTCACTCTTCAACAACATTCAACGTTCAAGGATGAGAATCGAAACCCTAATTAAATACAACTAGCATAAATTGAACGATTCAACAAGCACGTTAATCACAAACAAATTCAAAACATTATCCCCTATCCATAGTGAAATGAATTTAGCTACTCATATGGAATTCAACAAAAACATTCACAACAATCCAAGCATTCATATCCATGGATTAGATGAAAAGAACTTACGATTAATAGAGAACCAATAGTCAAATCCAATGAACAAGATTAATCTGGAAAATTAAAGAAAAAATTCAAGATAAAGAGCAAGATTCAAATCTATGTTCTAGGGTGAAAATAGGAAAAACATGAGTTGGTAATGTTCTCCCAAGTCTGGGGACGAATTTTATTTTATAGGGCTTAAAAAACCGAGCCAAAACGAGAAAAAACGAAAAAATCAGAAAAATAATAGGTGGGGCACGCACTAGCTTGGGTAGCAGCGGTAGGGCGCGAGCTAGGGGCACTAGTAGGTGGCCTGGGGGAGCTCTGCTGCATGCTAGCCTAGGTAGCAGCGGTGGGGCGCGCGCTAGGGCGTGCCTGAGAGCTTCTGCGGGCACTGTGGGGCAAGCTGCGGGAGTGTGCGGGTCGACGCGAGAGCGGCCTTAGTAGGCTACGGTGCACGTGGGACGCATGCTAGCGGTGCTAGACGGGCTGGTAGCGACTCTAGCCGGCCCTCGGAGCTTGTGGGCGGTTCGTACGACTTTGCTTCTCGGGCTCGTTTGAGCTCGTCCGAACTCAGAATTGAGTTCCATTTTTTTCTATTTATCGCCAATGAACCTTTCTAGTTAATTATTCTTTCAAAACCAACTTTGTCCTGAGATCCTATCCTCCAGAAGCTTCTGACCTGCACACCAAACACGAGACAACAAACGGAAAAAACCAAAAAGTGAACGAAAAAACAGGAAAAAACTCAAAATGAAGGAAAACACGCAATAAGCTAAAAAAACAACTAAAAACCAAAGAAATGACCTAAAACGGGGGAAAAATAAAGACAAAATAACAATAAAAAATGCAACAAAAATAGGACAAACATCAATCTCTTATTGCTCGCAGTCGATCTCACTCATCTCGCAGCTCGAGGTCAAATGCACTCACCTCGCATGTAACGCCACGAATATTTTTACTATTTATGGAACTCGACTTTATTTCCATAAATAGCTAGTTTCCATATTTGATGCATTAATTATTATTATTTGCATTAAATCGAGTAATTAGTTTAAAGTCTAAGCCATGGAGAGTTTATTCGATTTTAATCATTAAAATCGAATTCATTTAGCCAAGTATCGGTTTTATTTTTAAGGTAATACCGAGCCTTGGAATAATCGGAATTCTATTCAGTCGGGCTGAAGCCTGAATATTTAATCTGCTAGATCCTAATCATGTTCGAGCGAATCCAATTATATCCGACCCATTTTAGTATTCTAGCCGGTCCATTTATTAATTCTGGTCCAAATAGCTATTTTTGGCCCATTTATTTAATCGAGCCCATATTCAATTTTAAATTCGTGTCCAATCATTTTATGTAATTCGATTGACTAATTAATTTAGTCCAAGTCTCGGTTAATTTTTAAATTGACCGAACGTCTAATATTTTGCCAAGTAAAAGTTCGGTTTTACAAGCCTAATGTTAAAACCTGAGTTTTGGCCCAATACACATCAATAGAAATCCCTAGTCTTCTACTCACCTGTAAATAACACACTTAATCCACTCCTAATACTTCATCTTCAAAAACCCTAGCCCACCCTTCATCTCCATTTCAAGAGCAAACTAGATCTACATCACTTATCATCATTATCTTAGCTCATTTTCACAAGAAAATCAAGAAAAAGCTCATCATCACCTTCATTTACATAAAATCCGACCAAGAAACCGGCGAACGCCACTGTTCCGGTCACCACGACCAATTTCCGACGAGGCCCTAGCGAACCCGCACCGTCACAGCCACTTCGTCGCGAGCTCGGTGCCAGCTGCACCACCCCGTACGCGAGCAGGCGTACATCGATGTTCCCTGCTCGAGCCTCGCACGTCCAGGTCTGTTCAGGCCTGTACAACTCGCGTTCAGCCAGTCACGGCGTCCATTTGTGCGCCCCTGCACCGTCCAACTCGTTCCTGCGCCCGTACAATAGCGCACGACCATAGCGCATCCATATCCGTAACCGTATGCTGCTTCCATTCCAGCTCGTCCCCAACACGTCCGTATGCCGTTCTCTGCGGCCCGTGACCGTACAACTCCCGTCTGGGCCTGTACACCCCGCGCCACGACCAAGTCTGCGTGTTCAGCCAGAGCCGACCACGATCGAGCCATCTCAGGTTCAGACCCGTGACCCACTGCACCAGATTCGACTCTTTCAGCTCGGATCCGAGTTGACTCGTTCAAGAACCGATTCAATTCAAGCACCGATACAGTTTTCTAGCCCTAGCCAACTTCCGATTTTTCTTTTGAGCCCGTTTCTGAGGTATAAAGCTTAAACCCTCCTCTATGGCATTAGATATGAATTGTAGTGAATTATAAAAATGAGTTTGAGTATTTTTGAGCTAGAGATGCTTTTATATGATTTTGTTGAGTTAAATGGATAAAATTTCATAAAATGTCGATGGCTGATCCAAAAAATGCGATTCAAATTGGATAAATTCGATCTTGATGTATTGAGTCTTAGGTTTTAATTTCGCAAATTTTGGTGCATGTTTGCTATGATAACCGGATTTGTGATTATAGAGCTAAAATGCCCGATTTTTGTTGAAAGCGTTAGGGGCTTCATATTGTTGTGATAATTTTACCATAAATCCTATAAATGTTGAGAATGTTGTGGTTGAAAATTCGGGACTTTAGCCGAATAATGTGAAATTTTTAGAAATTAGATCGGTTGCGATTTAGCTGCAGTTCATGGATGTAATCACATAGAAATTATGATTTAAATATCGACATAAAATGAGTTAGGATTTTCAGAGATCGATAACCCTAGTTTTATTCGGTTTCGATAACCAGGTAAATTTTGGATCCGAGTTTAATCGCCCGAACCCTAGTTCCGTTTAAACAAATTTAGACGTCGTAGGATTATAAATGAGTCCTTAGGTGTCGAGACGTGGTTGGTCGGCCGGTTAATCGCCGACGGGACTATAGCCGAGCCTAAGAAGGTTATCGAGGCCGTGTGCCTCGCGATCAGAATTATCCAACCGATGTGCATTAGCATGTATCCTTAACACGCACCGTCGTCTCGCACACATGTCGCATTCCCATCTGGTCGTTGGAGCCGAGCCACCGTGTGCGTGCCCGTGCACCGAGTCCGTCAGATCTACCGCCAAGGCGTTGTTTCCTTAATCGTGGTCCAAGACACCCCTACGTCAGTGACCGTGGTACCGTTCAAATCTCGTGCATCGGCGAAGCTGTGTCAGTTGTGTTCGTGCAGCCCCGAGTTGCCACGTCGAACCCGGACCACGGTCAAGCCAAACTGCACATAATCAAACGAATGATCGACCGACTTCTAGTGAGTCGTCGATCTAGTTCAATCGAACCGGTCTGGGCAGTCTAGAAGGTTCAAAGAGAATTCCAGTTCAGTCGAATCTATCCGGGCAGTCCGGATGGTTCGGGAGTTCAGTTCGAAACATCGGTTTGAGCGTGAACCGAGAATCCAGTCTTTTCGAACCAGTCAGATTAGACCCAGTCAGACTAGATTCCAGTCAAAATGTAGTCTAGACTTAGAAATATTTTCAAGAACTCTAGTATGCCTCAAAGATAATAATACTTTCAAAATCAGCTCGTAAATTCCTAAACTAATTTTTAAAACCCTGTGAGCGAACTTAGACAGATCAGATAGTAAAATTCAAGTTTTTATTCTGAGCCCAGTACTTAGAATATTTCGCTCAAATATTTTGTAGCTTGAGGAGAGTCGAGACTCCACTTGCTACTAGTCAGTTCAGCATTTTCATTCGCCAGTATCCAGGTGGGGACCCCTATACTGTATATTTCATCGCTTTTAATTATTTGTCATGTTTGAAGTCTATATGTGATTAAATTGATGGATCGAGACGAATAAGTGATCACGTCTTTGTCAAGAACTCTAGATATGACTTGGACGTGTGGGCCTGATGTCCAGCCTAAGTCCAGACTTGGATGTGAGAGGCCTGATGCCCAGCCTAAGTCTCACGTCCAGATGCGTGGGCCCGATGCCCTTCCTGGATTTCTGTGGGATGAGACCCTCAGAGTGTGCACATGAGTATCAGTTTACCGTTGGTCCCCAGTTAGCCGATTTATTTATATATATGCTGATTTCATGATTTGTCATTAATTGTGATGTATATTCAGTGTCGGTTCCGGCGGAGCATCGTTGCTTCATTTATGGTCACACCTCCCCACTAACCATTTTTCAGGTGACGGTGTCGAGCGTGGAGCGTGAGCCGAGGAGTGGTGGTGGTCATAGCTAAGATATTTTGATGTGAACATGTCATATACTTAATTGAACATGTTTGAATTATCTG